CATTTTGGAAAAAAATGTCAAGAGACAAAAATGTTCAGGACACATTTCTCTATCTGTTCTGATAATTTGAGAAAAATCTGTGACAGTTCATTGAGCAACTTCGTTCGTCTCTATCGTGCACTGCCTCCTAAGTACAAAACGCGATACATCTAGATGCGTAAAAAAGAGAAAAAGTTGAATCGGGTTATCGGCCGCTACATCTAGATACAGCCGATTCTTTTCTAGATGTATCTAGTTATGTATCTAGTAGCGATTTTAACCCGATTCATCGGGCAATATATCGGAAGATGAATCTAGTTGTATATCGGCTGCAGATGAGGCACGCGTGAAATCGCCCGATAAAACTGCCGATACATCGTACAATGTATTGGGCGATGCATCTTGGGATATATCGATCGATTCATCTGCTTGAACACTGGTTGAACACCGGTTAAATGTGAGGGTTATTGAGTTGAATTATAACTAAATTACCAATACTACTTTGATGTTTAATTAATTCGACTTTGTGAACTACGAACAATGCAAATGGAAGAATAAGCACTTCTTTTTCGTTTGAATGCACAAATAATGTTTCTGTACATAACGCTTGTCCATTTCTAGAAATATTATAAATACAGAGAACAGAAATTTTGTTTGGTGTTTTACTATTTAATGCAAAATTTTCAGCTATTTGACGATCTTTTGTTGATGATAAATACGCAAGGGGGAAACAGCGGACTCCAGACTTCAACACGCCAACTGACTCCACTTGACTCCAAATGACTTCAATTGATTTCAACTGACTTCAACTGACTCCACCTGACTCCAGACAAGTCATATCTGACCGAGTCTATTGGCCTTCTTTTAAAAACTTGTCATTGTTGTATTCCCATGCTAGAACAAATGGCGTGTTATGAAATTCGATTCCCAAAAACAGAACAAATTTACCTTTTTCAAGGACGTCAATTCCCATAACAGAACAAAAAAATCTGCTGTTGTGGGATGTTTTCCCGAAAAACGGAACCCTTTTGTTCTGTTCTGGAAACTGGATCCTTTGACAGAGCAACATGTTCCGAAATGTTGTTTTGGGGAATAAACCATTAACGAGTTCATACTAGCTCACAGCTCAAGGGAACTAGAGCTCGTTGAAAAGCTAATGTCCTTCACAGTTGAAATACGCCATCACATCCCCGGAGTCCATCAGACTCCATCGAATCTCATAGGATCTTTTATTTTACCTTCTGAGTACACCACATCAGGTGACTCCACTTGACTCCAAGTGACTGCACAAGACCGGGATCCCATGTGTGTATACTCTGTTAACACACTTTGCTCGGTTAAAAGAATAACACTTGCTCATATCAATGTGCCGCATCAAAAGAAAAGAGATCAATCAAACATAATTTTAAGAACTACAAAGCAATTTCATTGCCATATAGAGTGGTGTGGGGCGAATCAAGAATAATTTCGCGATCATGCCAGTATTTGTTGAATACCTTTTTTAATCTTAGAGATCTTTTTGCGGGCGTTGGCAGTCATATAGACAAGACTCTCATTGATACACTTGTGAAAAATCGGCTTAAAATGCTTCAAAGTATCGGACTTCCAGTGGTTTTACTGGTTCGCCCCACAGCTATTCTTGATTCGCTGCGTTTGGGGTGATTCAAGAAAACATATAGCTCTGAGTGGAGTGAATCAAGAACACTCGTTAAAATAAACCGTATTTTTAACTTTTGTAAAATCCAATTATCTTAGGGATAATTAGTACTAATTGAGTAGATTTTCGCACCACTAGACTCCTGATCGGCTCAGGAACACATTGAAAGCAAACTCCGAATTGTTTGATGAGAGCTGACTGAGATCTGTTTGATGGTTTAAACTAGAGTAATAAAATAATATTCTTGATTCGCCCCGTTTCAAGAAACACGTAGACAGGCATGGGGTGAATCAAGAATTCTGGTATAAATGAACGCGAAAAGCCTCTACATCTAGAAAGCCAATTCTCAAAGCCGTTTACGAATAAAAAATGAAACGGCTTTTGCCAAACGACTCTTCAGCGACCATAGACTGGGATTATATCATTTGTACAGTAAATTCACCGAAAGGAACAGTGCCATATTGGATGGATGGATGGATTTTGCATTTTATTGCGACGCTCTTAGGCACTTGCAAAAATAGGTATATAAAAATTCCCAATACATTAAAACAAACATAAAAATATTGATAATCCTACACTGCCGGTACAATAAAAATATAAAAAACAGTAGGGAAGTATTATGAGAAA